GAGAGTGAAAGAGATGGAGAGAATGAGCTGTGAGAAAGAATGATTCCTCCATCAGGGAAAGTTTTCTCCCCCCATCCCCTGCCCGCCTCAGTTTCTCTCACCCCTGAGCCTTGAGTTCATTTAAATTTTTACTTTGGTGCCGCCATAAAACTGCTGTGTTTTCTCACATGCAGCACACATTGTTTTCCCCAAGAACAGATAACTAGACTTTGTAATGTGAAGCTGAACTGAGAAATACGGCTGAGCAAATGCGAAAGTCAAATCTGCAGGAACTCTCAAGAAGCGGAGCTACTACTTGCTTACTTATTTTAAGAAAATGTGTTTTTTTCCCCTGATGCATGTTGTTGCCTCTGCATTCTCTGCTGCATGTTGCATTCAAGAAAATATGATATTTTTTATAATTAAAGCTAAACTTTAATTGGAGTTTCTTTTTTTTAGTTGCAAATGACCTGAATCCAGGAGTGTCTTTCAAAGGCTCTGGATTCCCTTTTTCATTCAAGATGTCAGGGGGAGACCTCTCCATTTTGGAGGCCAAGCTCTATGGCTGCAGCACCAAGTGTCCTGTCCTGGGTTAATGGCTTCCAGCTGTGGACCTAGCCCTGTCCTCAGGAGACCCCGTCATGTGTCTCATAAGCAGACATTTGGGTTTTCCATTTACTGCAGAAGAATGTGGATGCTCTCCTTTAAAGAGAAAAGGTGGCTAGGTAGAGGTGCAGCCCCGCATGCAAGCCACCCTTGTCCGCTACTCCTCACCCTGCTGGTGGCACGGCCTTACTCCATGGTGGCAGGGCTGGCGTGGAGCTGTTGGTGGCAGCGGCAGCAGTGAGTGTTGTCACCCTGCTCCACAAATGCCAAAATATAGAGGTATTTAGGTGGTAATTTATTGTAATTACTGAGGCACTGGTTTCCAAATTGTTTTAAAACAGTAAATACGTCAATAAACCTTGTGTGCACCTGACACCTCTATATACAGCACAGTTTCATTTTAATCATGGAAAAATGTGGATTTGGGGTTTTTTAAGCAGAGAATTTGGGATTTTTAAACACAGGACACCAGGATCCCTGCTCTTCAGGATGATATTCCTCTTACCCCCCTGAATGCAGTGACTTGCCCCACGCCAAGAGCAACAAGATTGTCTTCTCGGAGATGAGCAAGACCCTTCTGGATTTCTACCCTGATAGAAATGGGACATTCCCCAGGATCTGGGCAGGGAAAGCTGTCTGGGGCCCAGGAAACCGCCAGCTGTGGTGCCCCCTCCCACACCGCAGGGACCTGCCCCCGCCCCAGGGAAAGGCTGCACAGGGCTGAGTCCCCTGGGCCCTGCCTGTGGCGCGAGTGCCCTGCCTGCACCCACCTGCAGGGCCTTGGGCAAAGCTCTTTGCAGGGACTGGTTTCTAGGGCAGGGAGCTCTGATCTCAGTCACTGGTGGATGCTGCGCAGCCGGCCCCCGGGCCAGGGCCCACAGCCACTCCCCACCCCGTAGTTGTGTCGGCAGAACCTGTCCACTTCGCCCCGCCTGTACTCCATCAGCTCCTTCTGGCTGGTTCAGCACCT